ACCTTCAGGTTCCCAGCTCTGTTGGCTAAGGGAGGGCAAAAGAGGAGAGCTCAGGGTGAGGACAGAGCACGACCGCTCTGTCTACATTGGTCTATCTGGTTGGCAAAGTTAGTCACCTTGAGCTGATGCTGGAACGTGAGCCATGACATCACCTTCCTGCCACTTCCTGCTCCACTGCACAGCCCCAAAACCAGAAAGCAGTGAGTACAGAGAAACTGGAAGCCTTGGACATAACCACCACTGGGAACACCAAATGCTGCAAACTGCAATTAACTGTTTGCTCAGGTTCAGCACAGTATTACCATACATTCCAACAACTTCACGCCTGTGGATGCCTCCAGACAATGGAAAATGATTACACAAAGGCTCATAATGGAACTCTTCAGAACACACAAATTTTGGGGACAACCCAAATAACCAGCAGGAGACTCGTTTTTTCTTAATTATTTATTTTTATCTTATGTAAAGATGAGTGTTTAACTATATGTATGTACATGCACCATGTGCATGAAATGCCAGTGGAGGCCAGAAGAGGGTAGCAGAGGCCCTGGAACAAGCGTTAATAGACTATTGTAGACTACCAGGTAGGTGCTGGAAACTGAACCCAGGTCCTCCACAAGAGCAACAAGTTCTCTTAACCCCTGAGCCATCTCTCCAGCCCTTAATGCTTAAGATCTTTAGTTTTATTCATCCAATGGGACATTACCACCATAGAGAGGAACCCGGCTCTACTATACACAGCAACAAGGATAAACGTGAGCACACCATGTCAGATGAAGGAAGCCAGACCCAAAAGGTCACACACTTCCTGATACCTTTTATTCTAACTGTCTAAGGTAGAGACATCCCTAGAACAGCAGGCAGGTCAATGGTTTCCCTGGGTGTGGTGGGGATGAGGGCTGGGAAGTAGTTGTTTCATAGCTCCTGGGTTTACTTTGAGTCATAAAGATGTTTGGGAACTAGACAGATGGACATTTGGACAGCTTTGTGAAAGTACTGAATGACACTGAGCTGGGGGCCGGAGGGGGGCGAAATGGTGAAGGGTTTCGCGTGAGACTCAACTCTAAAGAGAAATCAAGCCGAAATAAAAAGTTTCTGCTTGCCACACCATGTGCTCCACATGGTCCCCAGCATCTGTAGCACAGGCCTCCCCACCAGCAGCAGAGTTTATTACCCCACTTGACTGATAAGGAAACTGAGGCTTGGAGGTGATCTGATCTGCCCAAGGCTGCATACTCACACCCTGCTTCAGGCAGAGCAGAGGTCTCCTTGTCTGCACAGAGGCTGGTTCTGAACTGCCCAGAAATTCCTCAGCGTTGAGTAAGACATCTCCTCGGGGGCTGAGGATGTGCATCCTGACCTGGGAGGCAAGGGAGCCAGAGCTCTGGATTCCAGGCAGCTTCTTTGCTGGAATTCTGGCTGGAGAGCCTGGAACCCAGGGAAGGATGCTTAACACGCCTGATGTGCAACGTGGCCCATGAAGGGCTGGTCTGGGCGGGGCTGAGAAGAGAGCTAGAGAAAGAGGCTGGACAAGCTGAGGCCCCACATTTAAGGAACATGGTGGCAAGCTGTTCTTGAGCCTTCAAACTCATCCTGCCGTCACCACCAAACTTCCACCCTTGGAATGGAGACAAAGGGTGCCACGCCAGGAAACTGTAAGATTAGTGGCTTTGGTACCCAGGCACTAAGATTCACTAAGTACTCTCTGTGTCCCTCACAGTCCCGAGCGCTTGGCCTGGCTCTCTAGAACCTCTTAAGGTAGGGTACCTGTTACTGAGATAAATGTGAGGGCATAGAACCCCACCCACCTCTCTTCATGTGCCATGTTTAAACCACACTTGAAAATGTTGACCCCCCCATGTTGTCTGTGACTAAGTATGGGATGCACCCTGGCCAAGGAGACATAGGCCATTTATGGGATCTCTGGGTGAAGAAGCACTTGATCTGAAGAAAGGTGTCCATCCAGGCAGAACTGTCTTCCTATGATGTGATATCTGAATATGGTGCTGGGGACATGGCAGCCATCCCTCTTCCTCCTGATAATAAAATTGATATGAAGATGGAAGGCAGAGATGTAAAGACATCACACTGATGGTGCAGGGCTGGTTCAATCAGTCATGGGACAGGATGAAATTCTTCACCATTCTTATAACCAAGGGGGCTACAGCCGACAGGTCCAGGCCACGGATAAGAACTGTAAGGCACTGAGAAGCTGGGCCGGTGGGCTAAGAATCCACACCATCAGGCCCCAGAAAGTCCACCCTTCACCCTTGTAAGACACTGTGGGCTTGCACAGGATTGCTGCCACTGCAAATGCAGCATCAGGTACCATGGGAGGGAAAATCAAAATTACCAACATCAAGCATCCAGGTGGAACTTTGAGAATATAAAAGGCGCCCCTGGGCAGAGGCATCTCCCTGCATCCCAGTCCCCATGTAGTATCCCTGAGCCCAGAGTCTAAAATCTCCATCTCATGTCAGCGTCTAGCCTTCAGAAGTCCAGGTTCCCAAATTCTGGCCTCAGCCTACCTGCTCCTGGTAGCATCGGAACTCAGCCATAACACCCCCTTTCCACCCCAGCAGACAGCTCACCCACCTTCCCATGCCCCCATGAGTTGAGAATGAGCTGCCAATACCTGTACAGCAGCCAAGGGGATCTTAAACATTCATAACACTCTTCTGACCCAGAAATTTGTGCTTCTTCTTACTGAGCCGAGTATCAAAGCAAACACAGGCATGACTCAGAGGCCATGTGCTTCCGGGCCTGCCTTGAACTTCATCTTGACCCAAGCACCTCCACCCTGGCCCCATAAGTTCCTTGCACCTGGGAAATGCGCTCCCAGCCTAGGGCTTTTGACCTTGCTGGTCATTTAGCTTGTACAACACTCTTTCCACAAGGTCATGTCACTTTACGGTTCCCTAGAAAGGTGTATCCTTTCTGTCTCTAGTTAGACATCCAATATTGTTCTACAGATATCATATGGTTCTTTGACGTCATTTCTAATTTTGGATTTTTTCACTAATTTCCATCACACACACACACACACACACACACACACACACACACACACACCTGGGAAGGTCCCTCCATGTGCTGGGGATGACTGTGTCAGTGCAACCTGCTGTCATATCCCTAGCATCCAGAACAGAGTTAGACACACAGTAGGTGTTGGACACATGGGAGGCGTTCAATAAGCATTTGTTTAAGGGCTAAACCTCCTCCAGCTGAAGCCTCCGTGCGCCTTTTGAAGAAGGGTGATTGCACCCACTTTGATCCACATTCAGGAGCCTTGCTGCTGCTAAATGCGCTTACGTGGATTCACAGAGAAAGGTGCAGACTTCAAGTTCATGCCTAAGCTCTGCCAGTTCTCAAAACACGACCGTCAGCAAGTCATTTACCCTCTCTGTGTGCCTCAGCCTGCCAAGTGGGGGCCATGGAGTTCTTGGACCCCTGGGAAAGACAAGTGAGAAAACACATTGGCATTCCCACTTTTGGAGCATGTGGCACCTGCAGTGTCAGGATAGTAGAGGGGAGGGGGGACGAGGAGGAGGGATTCCTGCTGCACATTCCGTGACAGGGCTCCTTCTGCCTTCGCTGCATCACCCCAAGATGCCGGCCCCGGTGAGAGAGGGTGCACCGGGGTCTGGGCAGACGTGAGCCTAAACCTTTCCCTGGTTTCCATGATGGGTTATATGCTAGGTTCAGGACGGTCAACACCCAAAAGGCCTTACCTACTCCAAATTTAATCCAGAGCGAGTCTTAAGCATCAGGAGGGAGGTGGGGAATCCACCCAAGGTCAGGGAACTTCCAAGCCCCAAAGTGCTTACTGGTGGGACAGTTGCTGCAGGCAAACAGTTCCTGCCAGGATGAGTTTGGTCTTCATAGCTGCTAACTGGTCATAAGGAGAATGGAGGGGAAGCTACCAAGGAGCAAACCGTTTGGCTCTGAGTGAACCGGCCATAACCCAAAGGGATTGTATCAGTCTGCCTGCCTTTGAAGAGTGTTCATTTATAAAGTGTCTTGGCCATAAAATGGTCCACTAAGACCAAGGCTTTGAGAAAATGAGCAGAATATTGAGGCTCATATGCAGCCCACAGCTCCCCAGATACCCTTACCTGAGAGCCACCCTGAGCTGCCTAGCTACCTTAGGCTCCTCCCTCCCTGCTCACAAACCCTCACAGGGTCAGGGTAGAGAGTCTTGCTTGTACCTGAACCCTGGAAGCCACCCATATTTCAGCCTACATTTGGGCATCATTCAAAAGAGCCAAAGAATAGGGGCGTTGTCCTTCAAGGAGAGTTCCGTAGGGTCACATGTGAGTTGTCAGTTGTCCTTTTGCTCCTATTTCAAATGTCTTCTTCCTAGAACGGAGAAATTATCCCTTCTCCCATGATCTATCTTATTGGCCAGAAATAGCCATAACCAACATCATGATTTACAGCTCTCTGGAGACATAATCTCACTATATTAAGTATCTTGAGAGTTAATATACTGCATATTTAAATATAAAATCACCTAGCTTAAAAAAAAGGCATCCTGGTCAAGCTTGATTCCTCTGTTCTCTGTCTCTTTTTTATACCACGTCTTCCCTCTGTCTTCCCAAAAGCAACCTGTTCTTCCCAGAGGTTACCCTCTTCAAGCCATCCCCGGGCCCCCCCCCGCCCCATCCGTTTTCATTCTGTGATGTCAACACAGCCCAGAATCACTGGAGGGGTCTCAGCTGAGGGATTGTTGACCAGATCACATTGACCTGTGGTCACATTTTTGAGGACTTGTATAATTGATGATTGATGTGGGATGTCCCAGCCCCTGTGGACAGCCACACCCCTAGGCAGGTGGCCCTGAACTATATAAGAGAGCCAGAGCCACCCAGACAGGAAGGCAGTAAGCAGTGTTCTACCATTTTCTTCTCAGACTTCCTCCCTGAGTTCCTGCCGTGACATCGCTCAGTGATGGACTGTGACATGGAAGTGTAAGCCAAATAAACCCTTTCCTCACAGGGTACTTTTGGTCAGAGTGTTTTATCACAACAGCAAAAGGGAAACTGGAACACATAGCACATCCCGGTGAAACTTTCCAGACATAATCTATTCCCGAGCCTTAGATTGTGCATTTTGGGGAACACGGTGATAAAATCTCACCGTGGCATAGTCGTTTCCATCTTGATGCCAATCCACATCCACACTTTGGTGACTTTAGTTGGCTATCAGAACAACTGTCAGTATTACAGGGCTTGTATTCAAGTCACCATTATTGTATGTCCCTAAAACAGAAAAGGAAAGTCGCCAGTGATTTTAGATATCGTAAAGACAACTTGTGAAGTCATTCAAGTGAAAAGATAAAAAAAATAAAAAAGTTCCTGAGTACTTTGCAAGGAGGACAACCATAGTGAGAGTTTAGTGTTATTTGTGGTTCCAAGCACCCATTGTGAGTCACAGGTTCACAAGCTGCTGGAGGAGGTACCGCGGTGACCATAAACAATATGCAAATTATGTCACAGAATATCACCCTTATGAGAACAGGTACACAATTTACTTTCACAGCAATCTTAATGCACTTAACTTTCTCCACCTTGCTTTTCCAGATTCTCCGTGCTGTCAGCATTGAAGTGCTGTTTGTTCACTCTGTTTTCTATTTCATTATGTCACTCCACCACAATCTATTTATCCACTGTGCTGTTAGGAAGTCCTGGAGTCCAAGGTCTCCTGCTTCACAGGCAGTGCTGCAGTGACCATACTGGCAGCCAAGTCTACCTGTACATGCAGATGTCCCACTGGAGTGTGCAGCTAAAGAAGAAACGTCTGCTTCATGGTATGAGCATCTTAGACTCTGCTGGACAAGTTGCTCTCCGAGATGTCCGCACAAATCAGCATGCCTACCATCAAGTAGAAATCGGTGAAAACACTTTGAAGGACAATTGGGCAATATCTACGCATGCATGAACATCTCTGTGGCTCCACACTCTTGCTAAACAGTGTTGTCAGACATTCAAATTTTTGCCAACTTGTTGGGTGTGGACAGATATTTCATGACTGTTTTAATTGCATCTCTATAATTAACCAGACTGAGCACCTTTTGTATGCTCTCTGAACTTTCCAGCTTCTTGTTCTGAGATTTACTTGTCTGTACCCTGACTAATTTCAACACATGGATGATGGTTAGATAGATAGATATATAGGTGACAGACATATATATGTATATATATATAGAGAGAGATACATACACACACACACATAGGTGATAGGTAGATAGACAGATACATACATACACATACATACATAGGTGATAGGTAGGTAGACGATAGAGGAGATAGATGATAGATAGACAGGTAGATACATACATACATATACATACATACATACATACAATCATAGGTGATAAACAGATAGAGAGAGACAGTCTTTGAACAGTTTATAAAGAAGTATGCTTTGAACCATTTCCTAGTACAATAGATCTCGTTAGCCTAGAGTCTACATTGTATTCTGCAAATGAAGCTTGATCATCTTACCAGCTAACTAACAGTCCCTTTTGTATTGTCTTGCAATTGTAGCCCAAATACACTGTGATTTACTAATCATTTCTCTATAGATGGACATTTTATTCTCCTTTTACTCATTATAAATGGTGAATTCTGTAAAATTTATCCACAGCTATAGTATTTCTGTGGAAAATGGACAATTCTGTGAGCTACAGTGATACTTACAAAACAAGAAATTACAACAGTAAAAGTTGCCCAGATGCAATTCTTCCCTCTTCAAACAGATCAAATGGCAGAATGAGAATAACTTCTTAGGAAATATGTTTGGCAAGACCTGTTAAAGCTAAACATGCAGTTACCTCTGACCCAGGATTGCAATTCTGTGGCTGTGTCCAACAAAAATAGGTTCCTGTCTCCATGAAAAGCATGCGTGTTCACAATAGCTTTATTCACAGGTCACATAAATCAGTGTGCTAATGGCAGGCCCAATGCCATGGGCAGATCTGAAGACACAAGGAATCCAGCCTTGAAAGAGAAAATCTTCTCTCATTCCGTGTGCACAAAGTCCAGGCATGGGCAAGATGATGCACATTATTCTTAGTTAGAAATTAGAAAATTAATTAGAAATCAGAAATAAGTGTCTGGATGTGAGGACACATGCCTATAATCCCACTACTCAGGAGGCTGGAGCAAGAGGATGGCCATGAGTTTGAAGCCAACTAAGGCTACATGGTGAGCTTGTCTCAAAAATACAACATAGATAGATGCATGGAGAGATAGACAGACAGACAGATAGATAAATAGATAGATATGTAGATAATGGATGTAATGGATGGATGGATGGATGGATGATAGAGACAGACATAGATAGATAGATAGATAGATAGATAGATAGATAGATAGATAGATAGATATGAAGGAAAGAAATATGGTTAATCTACCTCCCCAAAGCAGAGAGGTTCAATTAAAATTAAGAGAGAGGTTAGACCCAAAAGTTACAAATTTCCAGCAGAGCAGGAATAATGAGTCTAGTTCTGTTGTCCTACAGTATAACTGGAATGCTTTTGAGAAGGGGGTTTCAACACACACACACACACACACACACACACACACACAAAGACAGAGAGAGAATAGAGAGAATATTAGCTCCCTCTATGTTTACATATATCAAACATAGGCCATAAATAGATCCGATTTTGTCTGTTAAAATAAAAACAAGCTGGTGTGGTGGTACTGTCACCCCAGTACTCAGAAGGCTAAGGCAAGAAAACCAAGAGTTTGAAGCCAGCCTGGGCCACATAGCAAGACCCTGTATCAAATTGCTTAATTAATATCATAAAAATTAATTTTCAAAATGTACATACAACTTTTTTCTCAAGAAACATAACTTTCTGGTTATTCAGTTTGGGTTCCACTTAAGTAAAAGGCAGATTTTACTGAGCGTTAACTACTGAGAGAAACATTTCCTAAATGTCAGCCAGCTTAATTTTCCTGATGAGCTCAATGGTGCAGGCATGAGTGTCCCTATGCTCATATATGGAAAGCAAAGCATTGGAGGTCTAGGTGATTTGTCTAAGGCCCTGGCTGCATTCAGACTCTATCGATAATCACTTGAGTCACAGCTGTCATGGCTGTTGCTGACTAGGCACACAGTGTGTCAGACGTTATTCCAACAGCTTTTACGTGTATTATCTCATGTCATCTGCAAGATGATCTCATGCGACAGGCGCCATTATTATCTCCATTCTACAGGTGAGGAAATTGCGACAGTAAGTCTCTTCCCGCAGGCCACACAGCCGGTCAGTGGAGGAGCTGTGCTCTCTCATTTCTGTGTGGCACATGCCCCAGTTCTGCTTTTCTAGCCCCGAGACTATGCATGGAATCTGCCTCCTGCCTCACGACTCCAGGCTATGCTGCTGCACATCTCGGCAGCTGTTTGCTTTGTTCCTGACTCTTCCAATGGAGGCTGTGTTTATTTGATTTGTTTTTCACATTCACTCATCGGCTCAGAGGTCAGGACAAAAAGCCATCAAGCACGGAACCCCAAACATTCCCCAGATAAATTAGCAAAGAACTTCACTAAGGCAGAGAAGCTGGGGAGGGGTCTCCATCGTTTCCCTGTGCGTAGAGCCAGACTTCACCATCCCAGACCCCAGAGAGCCCACATCAGCTCAAGGTTTGTGGCGACATGACGTTTGTAGAACACGTATCACCTTGGGATGAGGTTTTAATGGGGAATACAGCAGCCAGGATGTCAGCTTCAGAGGTTTATGAAGAAACGGACACTCTAACCACGTAACCACTGTAGGGAGGAACGATGCCTCACCGGCCATCAGCATCTTGTCCAGCAGAGGCCTAGACCACACCACAGCAATAACGTGACACCAGCAGCCCACCTAGGCTGCTGTCCTTAGCCACCAACTAAAGCTCTGCTCCACCTTCAACAACTTAGATCACTTTCACAAAGAACAGCAGAAGCAGCAAAGGGAGTATCCACAGACCTCAGGTCCATCTAGCGAGGGCAGCATGGGAAACGACAAGGCCCAGCCTCTTTCCACATGCAGCAGGAACATTTCCCCAAGGGCCTCAGAAGGAAGAAGCTGGACTGGATGAAGAAGAGAGCAGGGCTTCAAGGGAGCCACTGAGAGCCCAGGCTCGTGAACCACAGAAATAAGAAGACTTGGGACCAAGAGCCTACTAAGCGCCAGACCCTTCAGATAGACTGACTCTCATCCCTTTGGTGATCCATCAAGACAGGGATGCTAGTCAGCATTGTTGGACAGACGAGGAAACTGAGGCTCAAACTAGGTCAAGTAATCACTGCTCAGAGCTCAAGAGGGCTGGCTCCCTGCTTATGCCCCTTATTTCCCTCTGCAGAGGAAGTAAGAAAGAAGGAGAAGCAGGGGCATTGTGGCAGAGTAGTCTACTCTGAGAAGATGTTGCCCTTGTCCATCTCCCACAATGGAGGTCCAGTCAGATCCCACTCGGGTCAGTTTCTCTGCTACCTTGCACCAACTTCCAGGACAAACGATTGCTTACAACCTTTCCCAGAAAGGTAACAAAGAGGACAGAGGCCATTGTCTAAGCAGTGTATAGGCAGCAGGATTCAGGTTGGGACAAGGCTGCCTGAAACCATTGGAGAATCATGAAGAGAGGTGTTGAGCAAGTAGGCCCACCTGGATTCAGAAAGGAATCTATCTCCATTACCAGGAAGGGCTAACAGCACTCTGGGTGTCAGAAAGGAGCCCTGGATTAAAGAGACGGGATTAGAGTACGGACTGATGATCTAAGAAAAGTCAGGTTTCATGATTCCACTCAGGCATGCCCATTCAAGCTGCCCTCAGCCAGGGTCCATCATTCTCTGGTTGTACTCTGGCCCAGTTCTGAGCAGAGTGGGCTGGACTGAGTGGCAGCCTAGAGTCCAAGCAAAGCCCTTTGCTCCAGTCCCTGGGGGCAGCACCTGCAGAGGCCACTCCAGAGTCCCTGAAGGGGACCACCAGCTGTTCAATTGCTGGATATGAAGAAAGGAGCCCCTCTGGGGATATTGTTGGAAAAAACTCTTCCAAGTAAGAAAGAAGGCAACCTTCTCAAAACAGAAATGCTAAATGCAAAACTGTTCCCATGCACCGTTTTCAGATACTTAAGAACAGAGAAGTGGCTATAGCCGTACACAGGCTCACAGCTTCTGGCTCCGCAGCCAAGCAGGAGGAATCTGAACCCTGATTATACTAACTGTGTGTAGTCAGCCTCAACAGGCCTCCCATCCTCACCTTCTCCTCCAAGCACCCTTCCATCTACTTCACCAGCAATGACTGGAAATGGCTGGCACTGAGCAGCCCAGCCTAAGTATCTGGGAGTTCTATAAGATTCACTAATGAGTCACTGATGACCAAACTGCCCAGGCTTCTCACCTTCTCGGCACTCATGCTCAGAGCTAATCCAGTACAAGTCCAGCACTAGAGATGTTGAGAAAGGAGAATGACAAATTCCAAGACCTGAATAACACAGTGAGAGCGTGTTGCAAAGAAATACAAGAGGTGGGGAGAGAAGAGGACATGGGAGGGGAAGAGAGGGGAAGGAAGAGAAGGGGAAGAGAGAGGAAGGTGGTTGGAGAGAAGAGGAAGGGATAGAGAAGGATGGGAGGAGGAAAGAAGGGAGGGAAAGGAGAGGAGGATAGAGAAAGGGAGGTCAGAGAAGGGGAGGGGGTTTGTTTCTGGGCACCTTGGATCTAGGCTGGCTGCTGATTGGCAAGGGCTTGGGATTGGTTTATCCCAGCTACCCAGTTCCTCTGTGTTTCCAAGAGAGCACAGCTCGGTTCACCTCTAGAAGGCTGAGACACGTGGACCCATGCTGAGTCCACTTGACCCCTCAAACGTGTGGAGAGTCTGTCTAAAGTG